GCAGCTCCTGGAGTTTTTTTCGTTGCTTATGCCAGAAGTGGATGTTCTATACAACACTCTGCAAAAACGAAGCATCGATGCACCTGGGATCAACAGCGCGCTCGGCCGTTTCAAGGAAAATGTTCAGAAAATGAGGCAGAAAACTGATGCATTGGCCGCCACTGCTCATGATGGAACAGACGAGCCAGGCCGACGAGTCAGCAGCACAGCGCCGGTGATGAAGGAGGCTTGTGACACAGTCATCTCACAGGTGGAACAGAGGTTCTCACAGAGTGACCATTTGATCGCTGCAAAGCTTGTTGACAGCTCATTCTTCCCACAGCATGTCCTGTCATTTCCTACACCTGAGCTTGACTGCGCCGTGAAACTGGCCTGCGTTGGGAAACAAGGAGAAGTTGAAGTCTGAGCTGACCACGCTCTACCGCCACAGTGAGCTTCACACTGGAAACACTGCCCTGTCTCTGTTGAAATCCATTCACGAGAACAACTTGGAGGAAACGTTTGCTGAGACTGTTATTTTGGTCAAAATAATAGTGACAACTCCGATGACGACATCCGAGTCAGAGAGGAACTTTTCCACCCTCAAAAGGATAAAGACTTTCACTCGCAACACCATGGGACAGCCGCGACTTAACGCATTGGCCATGCTTTCAATTGAAAGCCAGTTGATCCAGCAACTACAGGACTTCATCCCCAAAGTGACACATTCTGTCAGAGGAAGGACCGCCGTGCCGCTTTTCTTTTCAAGTGAGCCTTCAGCTTTGGTAAGTTCATTTATGTCATATATTTTGTTGATCTTCTGTGTTTTGCCTCTGCTGGATCGATTGATATTGTGACCTCGATGATGAGTGTCTGTGTTTTCCTTATATTTACAGTCTATGGTGTTTTAATGCTAAAGCATTACGGTTGTTGTTATTGTTAAGAATTACTTTGTGATGGTGACCTTTACTCCATGTATGAAGGTGCATTACTATGACATCCCCACGCTGTGTACGTAAATGTATGCGCTCACAGTGTTGCTCCTGTGGTCTTCAGTATGTAATTTGACACTCCCCCTCTCTCTCTCCTCCCCCCCTCTCTCTGTCCCCCCACTCTCTCTCCTCTCTCTCTCTCTCCCCCGACCTCTTTCTGCCCCCCCAGTTTTGTACACCTAGAAACGCCACTGTTCGTAGGACAGAAAACTCTGAGTTAAACCTGAAGTTACCTCGCTAACCGCAAATCCTGCTTCTTAGTACAGACCTCAGACGTTACCTTGGTTACAAAAAACTATTTCTAGGGGTTTCAACATTGTTGGAAACATTTGGGTTAATGGAAGTACACAACTTGACTAAATACCGTAGGTCAAAGTAGTAAAAAAAAATGTTAGTGCCGATATGTTACTGGTTTTACCTTTGCATCGAAACATAAATGATGACACTCAAAAAAGAAGATGATAAAGACTGGTGGGGTAGAGTAGGAAAACATTTAGTTTGATTTTTGTGGGGACTGCAGAAATGACTCAGTCTGGCTGTAATACAGGAAACTGTCCACCAGGAGGAGCTCCAGGTCGTTGAGAGAGCCCAGACTAAGATCATTTAGGGTTTATTTTAGGATAACACACACACACACACACACACACACACACACACACACACACACACACACTGAAAGAAAGATGTTGCTTCTACAGTAGCTTCCCTACTACGATAACCCGATTTACTGTTCATCCAAAGTGAAGATGAATTAATTATGACAATTTACTGACATAACAGAGCCAAGAAGTAACAGATTAAGTCATGAAGATGGAGATGAAATAGATTACACTTATTATACCACCTTTCATCCAAAAATGCAGTCAAAAGAAAGAAAAATAGACAGTAAATGACACAATTTGGAGTTTTTAAAGGGCCCCCATGCTTTTCCGGTTATTACCCGTCCCCTTGTGTGTTATGGATGTTGTCTGCACGTAAACGGTCTGCAGAGTCACAAACCCTCAAAGTACACCCTGCAGCGAGTCCAACTCTAACACAGAAAAGACCTGTCTTCCTCACACACACACTCAATCTTTTCTCAGCTGCAGCTCCGCCGATTTCTCCTCCCTGCCAGGCTGCGGGTGTGTGTGTGTGTTTCGGGCTGGGTTCCGCGGTGTCTCGCTGTCTCGCAGACGGCCACTGGGCTCATAGGGAGGCGGGGTGCGGGGGGGGGAGTTGGAGCTCCAACAAGCCGTGTAGGACAGAGAGTGAATACACAGACTATACAGGGATGCTGTGAGAAACCAATGTGAGTTTGGAACATTGAACAATGTGAATCTATTCTAGTAGACCTCAACGATGGAACTATGATCAGTAGAAATGGCCATGACATGGGACCTTTAAGATAAAGGGAGGTCAGGTACTCTTTAAAACAGGCAGACATGGGACCTTTAAATAAGAACATTTTTGAAAATGAATAAAATGTAACACCAGGGATAAAAAGTAATGTAAAAACCAATGTTTAAATAAAATAAAAATGCAAGTTATAACTTAATACTATATTAAAATCCAGATTTAAACGATACGTCTCTAATTTTCTTTTTAAAATATTGAGAGGCAGTGACTTCCACAGTTTAGCGGCACTAAAATCAAAAGGCACTCTCACTGCTCATTTTATGGGAGGAATATGGAGCATTTAACGTAAAAATAAAAAGGTAGTTTATTCTCATATTTAGCTCAGATGCAGAATCAGAAACAGGTTTATTGCCAGTTAATTATTGTTTTTGTTCCATACATGAAAATAAAACAAGAATTAAAAACACTGATAAAAACTATTTTAAGAAAACTACAATAACATTAAAATAATATTTACATTGAATACGGTAGCAGGTATACCCATACAGTACCATAGGAATAACATATGTGATGTTACAATGTGATAGCAGGAGATAAGATTCTGCACACTGACTTATATTCATCAAATGTTAGCAGACAAAACATTTCAACACTTTCAACAGTATAATGTAATATATAATCAGAACCACAGATGAGGGGATGACCTGAGTTTGGAGAAGTTGTAGGAAGATAAATTCTCTTGGGTCTAAAAAGGCCAACGGGGACTTGAAGAAAAACTCCGTAAAGTTTCTGCTATCGATTTGTTTTCACACCACGCAACAAGCTCCGACATGTCTCCTTACAACGTGGTTTTTTAACCGCCAACTTGTGAGCAAACAGTTTCAGGCGCAGAGCAACATTAAGATTTAGAAACATGTGAGTGTCTGCGTGATGGAGTCCAATTTACAGTCTGATTGTATCTTGTGTCTCCACCAGCTGCTGAGGGACATCTCGGTGCAGCAGCAGCGATACAGTATCTTCATTGTCTGTTACTTTATTACATCATATCCTCCTCTGTAGTAGCAGGTTTTATTGATGTTGCCAATGTACGTTGTTTGTTGCGTATCGGGGTCATTTTAGGAATGCAACACATGTTTTAAGAAGCTGAGAGGGGGGGGGGGGGGGGAGGGGGGAGTTACATATTTCATGAAAGAAAACACAGAATTTCTGATGTTAAAGTTGTTCATATGTTCTGATCAGAGGTGGGAGAAGTACTCTGATGTTGTACTTGAGTAAAAGTAGAAGTACTCAGATCTCCTCCTCCTCCTCCTCCTCCCTCCTCCTCCTCCTCCTCCTCCTCCTCCTCCTCCTCCTCCTCCTCCTCTCTGACCTCATCTCGACCTCGCTGGAGGCAGCTCAGTCAGAGAGAAAGAGTTTCCTCTCGGAGGTCAAAGGTCGCCCTGCAGCGTCTTCACCTCCTCGCTGGCTGAGCCTCGTTAACACTCTTCCTCCTCCTCCTCCTCTTCCTCCTCAGACTCTGGCACCGGTCCACCGCTGCCCTGCTGCAGGGGAAGAAGACGAGCAAACTGCAAAGAAACTTAACAACCCAGACATTAGAAACGTCCTGCTCGCACTGAACATGGAGGGTTTGTAAATGTTTAGACAGAGTCTGAAATGAAACCTGCATGTTCTGCTGGGGTTCAAAAAGAAGCTCTCTGACCCCTCAGACTGTCGGACACTGAGCGGAGGAGGTTAACTCGTAGAGGGATGATGGAGAAGAGAGAACACTTCATCAGCTTCTAGACAAATCCTTAGGTCCAAGTCGAGTCCTGCTAAATGTTCTATTCGATACATGCTCATGTTCGGTGTAAAGTCCAGCATCCTCTTCTGTGACCTTCTTTATAACCAGAGAACAGTCTGTCTGGTTTAGCTTTGGCTTCTTTGTGAATCTGCCCGTCTTCAAACAGCGTCACTGAGCTGCTGAAATCACTGAAGGTCCAGGTAGCACTCTCACACTCATCCTGATCATGGAGCACATTGTCAAAAGGCAAAGTGACTTCATCTCCAGCTCTGACAATGAGGAAGTGATCTTTCACATCTGCAGCTACAGAAGTTTGAAAATGTATCTCTGTGAGAGGTTGGTTTCCAAGAGTTCTCTAAAGTCACCACGTTACAAACACAACTCACCATTCTCAGTTAAAGGAACAGTACGAAGTAAAGCACCGTTAGTGATATTAGAGCTGTTTATTTAACGTGTGTTTTCTGCATCCTGCAGGTCATTGTTTTCGGAGCCAAGGAAGAACTGGTAAAATGTGCTTCTGCTCAACAGATGAAGCGCTGACTGAACCGGAGGACCAGTCTGAAAGCTGACAGCATGTTGATCAGGGGATTTGAAAGGTCTATAGCCACCTAGCCAGGTTTTCTAGCCTCTTCTCGATGTGCCATTCTTAGAGCTTCCTCTGTGACGCTCTGATGCACTCTCCAAGAACGCTGAAGAGTACGTAAGTCAAATCAAACAGTCTCACTCTCTCTCTTGCCTCATACCTGATCCCAGGATATCACCACAGCTCCACTGAATGTGCAACACCTTCCTTGGCTCTGACACAAACTGTATGTTGTTTACAAAGTGAGAGCCAGGGCAAAGAGAGGGGTTAAACCCAACAAAGCGTTGTGTTGTCAGTGTGTTGGAGATAGAGAGAGAAACACAACTCATTATAACATTCATTAAAAGTACTCTTTTTATTTGGATTATATTTCATTAAAGCCGTAGGAAAAAAAAGGAGTAACATATTCCATTAGGACTTAAGCTAATTAAAACATCCTAAGATACTGGAGGCATTTCAGCTTTAGGAATACACATAGAGTAAAAAGTGAGTATAGTAAATATATGGTATAGACTATTGATCAGATATATACAGCATGTGCAGCAGTTACAGTAGGCAGTACAGGTATATATACTGTAGGTATAAGTACACGCTATGCTAACTATAAGACATTTTATGAATCATTAATAACAAAAACAAATAAAAGACATTCTTAAAATTGATTAGACCAAGTTTGACTGAAAGTACAATGAAAACATATAGATTAGAATTTAGATATTTTATGAATTCAATCCAACGCTTGTATGTTTGAAAATGTGCAGCAGTTATAGTGAGAAGTGAAGATATACGAATACAAATGTACTGTGAGTACAAGTAATGGTGATAAGACATTATATACAGAATAAACAGCTGGAGGTTTAAGTTTTAAGTGTAAGCAGTAATATAACTATGTATGTGAATGTGAGAGCACACTTAAAGGACGTTAAGTCAGAAAGGAATGAATATAATAAGCTGTGCTTCCTATCATATGGAGGTGAGTTTCTGAAGTGTGTCGTCTGTGTGCAGGGGGCGGGGCTTAACTCTCTCTCTCTGTGTGCGGGGGCGGGGCCTAACTCTCTCTCTCTGTGTGCGGGGGGTGGGGCCTAACAGACACGCTGCAGCGGCCTGCACACAGATTTTTAAGAGTAGTAGGCATACCGTTAAAAGTAAAGTGTTAAGAGAGTGAAATGTTGCTTTATGAATTTCAACACTTGATGCTGTCACCTTGATTCAGATTTCAGATTCCTGTATTTGCCGAACTGAATTAGTTTGAAGAGAGAAAACATTTTGACGAAAAGTTGACTAAAACGTAATGATTTTTCATCGACTAAAACTGGACTAAAACGTTTTGAGTTTTCGTCGACTAAAACTAGATTAAACTATGAAAATGACTCAAATGTGACTAAAACTAATAACCATTTTCGTCTAAAGAGTAAATCTAAAACAGCTGCCAAAATGAACACTGCTCAGGTGTTCTCAGTCATCAGAAAGGAATGAATACAATAAGCTGTGTCTCCTATCACATGGAGGTGAGTTTCTGAAGGGCCTCTCGTGGGGCTCAGGTGTTCTCAGGCATCAGAAATGTTCCAATGATCTCATGGTTCTCCTGTTTTCTCCTGTAACATATGAGGAGGTGATGTTTGACAGCATGGACTCTGAGGGGAGTTGATGTTGTTGATCAGTCACACAGAGGCAGAAGCCCCTCCAATGTTTTCATACTCTGCCTCATCTTCATCTTCATCATTCTGCTCCTGTCAGCATGGAACAGAGACATGGTAAAAACACAGAGCAGAGCTGGAAAGTAACGAAGTACATTTACTCAGTTTTCTACTTCAGTACATATTTGAAGGATGTAACTTCAGTGTGTATTTTTCTGTTTTACTTTGATTTTCCACAACATATTTCTAGACCGAATGGAAAACTGGGTGGGACTTTAGGCAACAGTTCTACATTGGGTTGAATCCTACTTAAAGGACAGGTAACTACACATCTGAGTGAACACATATGACATGTGGGGTTCCTCAGGGCTCCGTCGTGGGGCCTCTTCTCTTTAACATCAACATGCTACCACTGGCTGCATTTAATTTAATTTTAAGCATTATAAAGAACTGTTGATTGAATTACATGGTCACTTTGAAGCGTCCTTAATAGCATTTATTACATTCTGTTGCTGTTCTTTGTTACTTTGCTTAATGAACTGTTTTGCTTTTTTGAGATCATTTAATTTGGAACATAAATACTCTAAATTAATCTCGTGTTGCATCTTCTCATGCCTTTCATATTTCCACTGTTAAAGTTGGATAACAAATAATACACACATTGAATGATTCAATGTTGAAACTCACCATGTTTTCTTCCGTCTGTGCTTTGCTCCCTGAAAAAAGGACAACACAAGTTGATATTAGATTTCACCTTTATTCGTATTGTTTTCATTTGACCTGTGAATGATCTCACCTTTAGCTCTTGTCCATATGTTGACTGTAACCACGGTGATGATGAGAGCCGCTAACCCCACAGACACCAGGATGAGCCTCAAGAGACCTGGAGAGCGAAGTTAGAAGAGTTACATAGTCTCTCAAATGTGAATGAACAAAATGTCTCTTGGCTGTTTAATGCTTCCTCGTCACCTTCCAACCCAGTCTCACGGCATTTCGTGTTCACCAACACGATTTTTAATCTATTGATTCGTGTTCACCAACACGATTTGCCCCTTTTTTTCGTGTTGCACAGCACGATTTTAAAAGCAATGTATTTCTACTGCCTGCAGCACGTCTTTTTCTCCGGTCGGGTCGAGGAAGACCGGAAGCTGTGTGGTTCATAAAAACATGTTCTTACACAATATCAAGCCACAGTTATTGCTTTTATTTGAAATCGTATAATTTCGGACTTTTGTTGCCGTCTGTGAGGAAAATAAATGGGGCTCAGAGCCTCAGGATACTGAAATCTGTATTTTTAAAATCTTTTTTTCCTTCTAATTTGTTATTCTTTTCAAAATAACACACTGCTATTTACTCACCAATAACACACAATTATCCTTGCTTTTATTTATTGGTTTAATTCCATAATCTCGGGCTTTTTTGGCGTCCGTCAGGAACTGAATTTCAAAATAAAAATAACCGGAAACAGACTTAGGCATTTCGAGCGATTACCCAAGATCCTCAGCTATGGTTTTAAGCTCGCTTATTGGATGTTTTAGCCGCAATGCATGCTGGGATTTGGTGTTTATATGATATGAAATCCGGAAAACATTTTAAAAGAATACAAATAATACTTAATTCCGAGTGCTCTTGCTTTTCTCTTTGAAAGTCATCACATAACGGCATTGTAATACACGGTTCGGCTGCATTGTATATTACAGATCTGCCGTAGTTCTTTATTTATAGAGCCCTGATGAGAAGACCTTTGGAAAAACTGAGAAAATGCCGTCGAAACTGAATACTTGACGTGGATCATAACTATATTCAACAACATCTTCAATTTCTCTTCACACAATACGTCTCCTTGCAGTGTCAACACTAATTCGGCTGACTTTTACATTTGATCTAATTCACAGATAGGTTATATTTACACCATAACGCTGCACAGCTGATATAACAGGACTGTAGTTTTTAAAGATATTACTGATTTTCTTTGAATGTAAGAATGTAAATACTGAGTCTGAAATAGTATAGCAATATGCTGTAAAATGATGTGAAAGCACGAATAAAACTACACATTTTCAGATGTTGTACGAAAACAAAAGTGTCCTACACTAATAATACAAAGTTATTATGGCTGTGTACCTTGTGTGCACCGCCTAGTGGTTAAAGCACGTTATTGAATTATTGTGTTTTATTTGATTTAAAAAAATATTAAGAGTACATACTTTCATAGGGGGAAAGTATAAATATAGAATATAAAAAATCAAGAAGATACTATAAAGTGATCTCTACAATAAAACAGTTTAGTGCAGAATGTACAAAGATATTAATAGGAGGAGGTGCAAAACAGAAAAACGAATTAACCTTTATTTAATCATTAAATAACAGATTAAGGTCTTCTTTTAAATAAGAACAAAACTTTGGGGGTATCTATCTACAGATAAATATTAAGCCTGACAAAGTACTTAACGTCTAATATATTGCTTTCCTGCAATGTTAACTATGTTGAAGCACTTATTTTAACTGATATTATACATATGGATTATACTCTTATGTATGTAGATAGAATAAGAAATGTGCAGAATATGACAGTTTAATGGTGGAGGTATACACACATATTGATAGATGTCTTGTAATGCACTGTTGAGGAACCTGTGACCCAAGTGTTTCATTCATTGCATAACTACACCGTAGTTGTGTATATGATATGTCAATACACCTTTGAAAATCTTGAAAGGGATGTGCAAAATAGCCATAATATACAGTCTTTAATTAACTATTAGTAGAGAATAACGAGTAATGAATATACTTTATTACTCGTTTCCATTCATGTCAATTGCAGATACATGTTTAGTCTTCTCAAGCACCAACTATCAAATATCTCTCCTGATTGTTGGCACTTGACAATCACCTTCCCTGAATTTTACTCAGGTGTAACTAAAGTCTGATTTAAGGGTTGTTTATATTTCACATAATTAATCAGAATCTGCAAAGTAACTCAAATAAATGCAGTGGAGTAAAAATACCAGGTTAACCTCTGAATTGTAGTGGAGTAGAATTACAAAGTATCAATGAGCTGTCATGTGGGTATTAATGCTGCGCATTATGGACACAAGCGATTTTCACCCATTTATTAATTATATGTTTTACATTTGATAACACCAATGTGTTTAATACTGGCAACTTCTAATTGTGGGAAAAACGAAAACGTTCAGTAGAGACGTCCCATAGAACATTTTGCGAAACACAATAGCCAGCATGTGTAGTTCTGGGGGGGCGTTCGATTCCAGTTTTGGATAGTCTGGCGTGGTTTCGTTCCATTTCACACAGCTGTTTGACGCTCTGCGTAACCTTACGGGACTGTAGTCCTAAACGATAGCTGGGGATTATGGGTAGTGTAGTGTCTTCGGCCATCCTAGTAAACTCAGAAATGTTGACAATCGCAATGGTGCTCGAAATGTCCCTTATAGGCCTACGTCTGTTTCCGGTTATTTTTATTTTGAAATTCAGTTCCTGACGGACGCCAAAAAAGCCAGAGATTATGGAATTAAACCAATAAATAAAAGCAAGGATAATTGTGTGTTATTGGCAGTGTTGTGCTAGTTACTGAAAACCAGTAACTAGTTACACTACTAGTTACTTCATTTCAAAAGTAACTCAGTTACGTTACTAGATACGCACACCAAAAAGTAATGCGTTACTAGTGAAAAGTAACGTTTTAGTTACTTTACAAAAGGTCTCCCATTAATGCCCTTATAGCCTTCATTTCAGTACTGTTATTGCATTGGAGAATAATACAATCTGTTGATCAACTTGACATGCATTATATGCAATCTGGATTGCATCGATATTAGCTGGCTTTCCATTTTTGTATATTCTTTCTCCAGGTAGTTGGAAAAAGATTTCCGTCCCATATGCCGTGTGCCGCCCGGACATGCTATCATGCTAACTAGCTCCCTGAAAGCGGGTGACTCCACTGTAGCAATAGCCTGCATGTGTTCTACAACATACCGTGCAATGGCTTTATCGACTTTTCCCTGGCCAGCAGTCCCTTGGTTAAAATCCAGCCGCTGTTGCTTAGGTGGAGGTGGAGTGGCGTCGGCTGAGTCTCTGTGGTCTTAGCTACTAGCTTCGTCCCAGCATGTTGTTTTTGCAGATGTTTTAAGAGATTTGAATGACTGGTTTGGGCAGTAGATAGGATCTTTGACCCGCCAAGACACAACTTACATTTAACTAAAACGTTCTTTTCTTTGTGCTCGACAAAAGTGAAATAGTGAGAATATCTCCAGGTGGAGAAACTAGACTTGAGATCCGCCGCCGCCATGATAGTCTTGTTAGTAAACAACACAAACACGCCCACAGCCCGTCTCCGCATGTGACACAGGAAGTATCTAAGTACATTTACTCAAGTACTGTACTTAAGTACAGTTCTCATCTCTGAGTGGCTTGATATTGAGTAAGAACATGTTTTTATGAACCACACAGCTTCAGGTCTTCCTCGACCCGACCGGAGAAAAAGACGTGCTGCAGGCAGTAGAAATACATTGCTTTTAAAATCGTGCTGTGCAACACGAAAAAAAGGGGCAAATCGTGTTGGTGAACACGAATCAATAGATTAAAAAATCGTGTTGGTGAACACGAAATGCCGTGAGACTGGGTTGCACCTTCACACAGAGACACAGAGCATACAGATACACACACAACTTATTATAATCCACACCGTTCTTCTTTTCTACATCAAATGTTACCTTTATGAACTATGTTGGATCTGAGTCCACTCCTTATCACCTTCCAGTACATCCAGGTGTGTATGTCCTGCATGTGTGCTTGTCTTCTCTATCTGTTCTCTCTCTATACCTTTATTGTTGTCCTCTTGTTCTGTGTGATTGTCTTCAGATGCAGTGTTGGTCGTCTCTCCGGCTGCTCTCATTCTCACTGTTGTCCATGTTGGTGACACTGAAGTCACCTTCCCTGCATCCTCACCTTAATGAATAAAATAACAACAAGCTGGACAGTTATAAAAACTAAAGTAAACATCTCACATCACGACATAAAGATGTGACGCATCAGGATGAATGATTTTAAACAGCTCATCATGTTCTCACCTGAGGACTGAAGAGAAACAGCTGAGGTTCTGTGACCATCAGACACTTCACAAGTAAATCAAGTGAACCTTACCTGAGTTCATGTTGCTTTTAGTTGTTGCTGGTTTTGTGTCCTCGCCTAAACAAATAAACACAACTCAACAAACTATTTAGTCTGTAACTTCTGTAAAACAAACATTTAAACATCTCAACATGTTCTCACCTGAGGACTGAGGGCTGAAGGGAAACAGATGCACTTCTCTTGTGTAACCATTAGTTACTTCACAAGTAAACAACTCAGACCTGTATGTGTTAACTAAAGAGAGAAGTCAGAAATGTCACAGAGGCAGAGCAGCGAGACTGTGATGTGTTTATCTCTCTGTGATCTTTATCCACATCTCGACCCTGAAGCAGCCACTTCACTGGGTGTATACATCCTCCTCTATATGTCTCCACAGAGCAGCGTAACGTCACCTCATCATTGACCTGATGTTCAGTCACTGCAGACGGAGATATTGAGAGAGAAAGACAACGAGAGTAACATTAACTTCATCACTGTAATCATTATTATTGTAATGTTTCAGTATATTGCTCTATAGAGACAGTTTGAAACATCATGATGTAAATACTCACTGGAAACAACAGACAGAAGAACATCAGAGTCTGGACCTTGTTGTTCTCCTGATCTGAACTGTCTGCAGACGTAAAAACCAGCATCCTCCTCTGTGACCTTCTTTATAACCAGAGAACATTTCTCTGTAACTCTCAGTCTGTCTGATTTAGCTTTGGCTCCTTTGTGAATCTGTCCGTCTTCAAACAGCGTCACTGCTGGTGGGTATGGTGAACCTCTTGAATGTCTGAAGAGCCACCTAGTACTCTCACATTTATCCTGATCATGTATCACATTGTCACAAGGCAAAGTGACTTCATCTCCAGCTCTGACAATGCGGTAGTATTCGTTCCCAGCTGCAGCTGTTGGGGGAAAAAAGCAGAAAGAAATATAGACGTGATAAATGCTGACAGAATAATGATGTATTATATAAAAAGGTAAAGAGTTAGAGTTCTGGTTGATCTGTTTAATGAATCATTTAACGACACATTCAAACCAGAGTTAATTACAGATCCACATCACTAACTGAAGTGTTCATAGTGAGTGTGACGATCACTTTAAAGAATATTGCTATGTGGGTTTTAGTGAGCAAGAGTTCACTAAAGTCACCACGTTACAAACACAACTCATCACTCTCAGTTAAGGGGGCGGGTGGCGCAGTGGTCTGTGCATCTGATCATCAGATCAAGGGGGGTGCTGGGGAACTCCAGTTCGAAACCCGCTCCTGCCGCCACTGCGTCAGGCCGTTGTGTCCTTGGGTAAGACACTTCACCCGGATTTGCTCCTGTGGGTATTGTCCACAGTACATGTATAATACCAATGTGTACTTGTAAAAGTACCTCGATGACCTCGAGGCGTGAAGATGGACGGTGTGGCGCAGTGCAATGATCATCAGATCAGGGGTGAAACCCGCCGCTGCTGCGTCTGTAAAGCCGGTGTGTCCTTGGGCAAGACACTTCACCTGAACTTGCTCCTGTGGGTATTGTCCACAGTGACCATTGCATGTATAAAAAATATGTGTAATGTGTATTTGTAAAGCGCTTTGAGCATCTGGAAAAGCCCTATAAGGAATGTAAGGAATTATTATTATTATTATTATTATTAAAGGAATAGTACGTAGTAAAGTACCGTTAGTGATATTAGAGCTGTTTTATTTCATGTACTTGGTAAATGGTAAATGGACTGTATTCATAAAGCTCTTCATCCAGTCTCTCACCCCTCAAAGCGCTTTACATACAAGTCACCCATTCACCCCCAGTTCATACAGAGCAATGTGCCCCTTGCTCAATGAAGGGGTTAGAGCCATTTCCCTTTCATCATTATGCTTTGAATGTTTGTCTTGTTACTAAAAGGCTTTAGAGGAAACTCTTAACTATCTATTTTTGTGAGTCACTGAGACTGACCGTTGAGCGGCCCGACCAAGCAAGGAGGCAGAGGCAAAACGTCCCAAATACAACCCGGTGTGGGCATTTATTAAAATCATGTGCACATAGTTCACATAGTTCACAGCCTCGATCCGGCTGTTCTCCCTGAACACTTCCTGCAGCCACGAGGATCGCTCACCACCTTACGAACAGGAAACAGAGCCTAAATACCCACAGACTAATCAATCAACAAGACACAGGTGAGGGGGGAGGAGACAACACAGGGCACCAGGTGAACACAGTCAGCAGCAACAGACATGGGGGAGTGATATGTCAACTTTACACAGTGGTAACTTGTACAATTAATGCAACTTAACGTCATGATTTTCAGACCCTCAACATATTATTCGCACCCTGATTACTCTCAACCGCTGTCATTCTTACACCAGCATATATCCTCTCGGCGCTCTCGCTAACTCCCCTCTCTTTTCAGGCGGAGCCGAGGACCCGACCAGCACCTGCCAGACGACATTCCAATCAATACGGTTTAATCAGTTAATAAATACCACCTCAATAATTAGTATAAATTATATAAAATGTGCAAATATGCAAAGCAAACTGTAGCCTGCTGTGCAATCACGCTAATAAAGTGCAAACTGTTCACTAAAGTGCTACAAGGCCCGAAGCCGTCAGTCCACTGTGATGAAGTTACCTTCGTCACACTACGCTTTAAAAGATGTTAGTTTAAGCCTCACTTCTTTGCGGTCAGATGTGACGTGCATGTCTGCATGTCTGTATGTCTATATATGGCATGACGTTGGTTCACAGCTGAGGGTGTGATTAGACAGGAAGTGGTAGAGTCTTTTGACCGTGTTCTTTTAGTTATTTTTTGATACGGAGAACTTTGAGTTACTTTGAAGCGAGGAAGTTTGTCTTCATGTTTGAATGTCGCCTGGATCAAAGAATAAACCTGATGTGATTCAACGCTACAACGATCTCTGCAAAGTTAGTTAGGAAGCAAAGAGAGGCGCGTCGTAGCCCACACCCCGATAGAGGAACGTGGATATTAAATGTAGAAACGGATCAAAACGCCACGACAGAAGGTATCATTCACACACCGTTCCCCATTGAGAGCGACTTGGGGTTCAGCATCTCGCCCAAGGATACATCGATTTCAATTGAGCGACGCCCTCACTAGCTTTCATTAACAGTCGTGAACAGTGTGTGTTCTCTGCATCCTCACCTGGAAAGTGGAGCAGCAGCATCAGGAATGAAGACATCACGATCCTTCTGAATTCAGACATCGTGCTTCTCTCTCGGTCTCTGGCTCTCGACTGTCAGAGTCTCTAACCTGCTGCTTCTTCAACAAGAACTCAGTACCTACTTCCTGTGATAATGAAGTCATTTCCTAATTCTAACTTCATCTCTCCTCTGACGGCTGTTGACTTTAAATGAGCTTTTATTCTTTCTTGTGTAAATCTCTTGTAACATCAGACTTTTAGATTTGGTCATCAATGCAACAGAGGAATGTGAGAATGTAAAAATGTTTGGTTTTAATAAAAGTTAACAACCTGCTGGTTCCTCTCGGTATCTTTGCAGTTTTATGTGTAACTTTTATCAGAGAACTGAAGGAGAGGTGTTGTTTGGAGGATGTGGGTAACACCAGCAGCAGAGCTCTGCAGGTTCAAACCCCTAATGCTGACCAGATAAGGTGCAGAAACCAGAAGAGTGCAGAGTGATGTACATAAAGGAATATATATACACAGGAACAAAACAGTAGTGGGTAGAGGGTGATATGCCTTCATATAGACACAGGATGAACAGCAGTCACAAAAGGCAGTGCAGGTGTAAGTAAGTAATGCCATTCAGTCCAAGTTGTGAAAGCTATGTCATGACAAACCTTACAAGAAAGGCTAATGTTCAGGTGTATAGTATGTAGTGTCTCTACTTTAAAGAGTCCTCTCTTGCTGATGTTCAGGTGTATATCAGTATGTAGTGTCTCTACTTTAAAGAGTCCTCTCTTGCTGATGTTCAGGTGTATATCAGTATGTAGTGTCTCTACTTTAAAGAGTCCTCTCCTGCTGATGTTCAGGTGTATATCAGTATGTAGTGTCTCTACTTTAAAGAGTCCTCTCCTGCTGATGTTCAGGTGTATATCAGTATGTAGTGTCTCTACTTTAAAGAGTCCTCTCCTGCTGATGTTCAGGTGTATATCAGTATGTAGTGTCTCTACTTTAAAGAGTCCTCTCCTGCTGATGTTCAGGTGTATATCAGTATGTAGTGTCTCTACTTTAAAGAGTGCCCTCCTGCTGATGTTCAGGTGTATATCAGTATGTAGTGTCTCTACTTTAAAGAGTCCTCTCCTGCTGATGTTCAGGTGTATATCAGTATGTAGTGTCTCTACTTTAAAGAGTCCTCTCCTGCTGATGTTCAGGTGTATATCAGTATGTAGTGTCTCTACTTTAAAGAGTCCTCTCCTGCTGATGTTCAGGTATATATCAGTATGTAGTGTCTCTACTTTAAAGAGTCCTCTCCTGCTGATGTTCAGGTGTATATCAGTATGTAGTGTCTCTACTTTAAAGAGTCCTCTCCTGCTGATGTTCAGGTGTATATCAGTATGTAGTGTCTCTACTTTAAAGAGGCCTCTCCTGCTGATGTTCAGGTGTATATCAGTATGTAGTGTCTCTACTTTAAAGAGTCCTCTCCTGCTGATGTTCAGGTGTATATCAGTCTGTAGTGTCTCTACTTTAAAGAGGCCTCTCCTGCTGATGTTCAGGTGTATATCAGTCTGTAGTGTCTCTACTTTAAAGAGTCCTCTCCTGCTGATGTTCAGGTGTATATCAGTATTTAGTGTCTCTACTTTAAAGAGTCCTCTCCTGCTGATGTTCAGGTGTATATCAGTATGTAGTGTCTCTACTTTAAAGAGTCCTCTCCTGCTGATGTTCAGGTGTATATCAGTATGTAGTGTCTCTACTTTAAAGAGTCCTCTCCTGCTGATGTTCAGGTGTATATCAGTATGTAGTCAGTGTCTCTACTTTAAAGAGGTCCTCTCCTGCTGATGTTCAGGTGTATATCAGTCTGTAGTGTCTCTACTTTAAAGAGTCCTCTCCTGCTGATGTTCAGGTGTATATCAGTATGTAGTGTCTCTACTTTAAAGAGGCCTCTCCAGCTGATGTTCAGGTGTATATCAGTATGTAGTGTCTCTACTTTAAAGAGTCCTCTCCTGCTGATGTTCAGGTGTATATCAGTATGTAGTGTCTCTACTTTAAAGAGTTCTCTCCTGCTGATGTCCAGGTGTATATCAGCATGTAGTGTCTCTACTTTAAAGAGTCCTCTCCTGCTGATGTTCAGGTGTATATCAGTCTGTAGTGTCTCTACTTTAAAGAGTCCTCTCCTGCTGATGTTCAGGTGTATATCAGTATTTAGTGTCTCTACTTTAAAGAGTCCTCTCCTGCTGATGTTCAGGTGTATATCAGTATGTAGTGTCTCTACTTTAAAGAGGCCTCTCCAGCTGATGTTCAGGTGTATATCAGTATGTAGTGTCTCTACTTTAAAGAGTCCTCTCCTGCTGATGTTCAGGTGTATATCAGTATGTAGTGTCTCTACTTTAAAGAGGCCTCTCCAGCTGATGTTCAGGTGTATATCAGTATTTAGTGTCTCTACTTTAAAGAGTCCTCTCCTGCTGATGCTCAGGTGTATATCAGCATGTAGTGTCTCTACTTTAAAGAGTCATCTCCTGCTGATGTTCAGGTGTATATCAGTATGTCGTGTCTCTACTTTAAAGAGTCCTCTCCTGCTGATGTTCAGGTGTATATCAGTATGTAGTGTCTCTACTTTAAAGAGTCCTCTCCTGCTGATGTTCAGGTGTATATCAGTATGTAGTGTCTCTACTTTAAAGAGTTCTCTCCTGCTGATGTTCAGGTGTATATCAGTATGTAGTGTCTCTACTTTAAAGAGTCCTCTCCTGCTGATGTTCAGGTGTATATCAGTATGTAGTGTCTCTACTTTAAAGAGTTCTCTCCTGCTGATGTTCAGGTATATATCAGTATGTAGTGTCTCTACTTTAAAGAGTCCTCTCCTGCTGATGTTCAGGTGTATATCAGTATGTAGTGTCTCTACTTTAAAGAGTCCTCTCCTGCTGATGTTCAGGTGTATATCAGTATGTAGTGTCTCTACTTTAAAGAGTCCTCTCCTGCTGATGTTCAGGTGTATATCAGTATGTAGTGTCTCTACTTTAAAGAGTCCTCTTCTCCTCATGTTCAGGTGTGTATCAGTATTTAGTGTGTGTCCATTTTTTAATGTCAGTCTGCTCTGATTGGTTAGCTGGCCGGCTCTGTTGTGATTGGTCAACCAGCTTAGAAATGTCCCGCCCCTTAGCCTATCACGTACAATGTGTGTGTCACTCTGTTCCTGAAGTAAACAAAGGAGTGCAGTGGAACTCCCTCTTGTGGGAAGTTTAGGATTTTAGCCTTTGCAGATCATTTGCATGGGGCCTCACTTTGGGCAGCCTAGCTTTAGAGCGAACGGTTAGGGATAATTTCTTGTAGTTTTTGGTCATTACATCTCCTTTTCCAGTGGCCTGAGGTGAGGAGAAGGTCGCTGGGTGGAGGTTCAGCGCTGTAATACTGCAGCTTCTAACCGAGCGTGAGATGTCACACAGATGGAGCTCCAGAGGAGAGAGGCTCTGTTCGTCTGTGTGTCTGTCAGCATGCATCAGTGTTCATCTGTGTGTGTGTATGTGTGTGTGTGTGTGTGTGTGTGTGTGTGTGTGTGTGTGTGTGTGTGTGTGTGTGTGTGTGTGTGTGTGTGTGTGTGTGTGTGTGTGTGTGTGTGTGTGTGTGTGTGTGTGTGTGTGTGTGTGTGTGTGTGTGTGTGTGTGTGTGTGTGTGTGTGTGTGTGTGTGTGTGTGTACATTGCATCCATTATCTGAGGCAGCGTTGCTGGGAGCAGTGCAATGTCTCATAGGACAAAGTGGCGAATGCTTCCTAATCGAGCTGCACGATATAACGTTTCAGCATCCACAAAGACTGCTGCAGGATGACATATTTTTGTAGTCAGACCCGGCTGTTAGCGTCTATCTGGTTCCTTCCAAAGATAGTCAATTCGATTTTTGGATTTTGGGTTATTGAAGCAGACAAACATGCATGATACCTACCCGTTTTATTCACCAGGATAATATCCACATATGAACACCACTTTTTGAAGTAAATAGCGTTAAGAACTACAGCACGGTCACATGACTTCACGTCACCACCGCTAAGCTAAAGGCGGCTAATGTTGGGCTATAAAGGAACTACAGCACGGTCACATGACTTCACGTCACCACCGCTAAGCTAAAGGAGGCTAATGTTGGGCTATAAAGGAGCTACAGCACGGTCACATGACTTCACCACCGCTAAGCTAAAGGCAGCTAATGTTGGGCTATAAAGGAACTACAGCACGGTCACATGACTTCACGTCACCACCGCTAAGCTAAAGGTGGCTAATGTTGGGCTATAAAGGAACTACAGCACGGTCACATGACTTCACGTCACCACCGCTAAGCTAAAGGAGGCTAATGTTGGGCTATAAAGGAAGTCTAGAAAGGTGTAACCTTTAAAAGGGTTAAATGCAGTTTGTGGAAAACAGAACTACCTAAGAACAGTCACAGTTTTCTGTACATTAGATAAGTGTCAATGTGTTTTTATTCTGATTCTGATATAATTAGCTTCAACAGATGCTGCATAAGAAGCATAATAAGAGTCTTTGTGTGTGAATGATCCTGAAAAAATATTTAAAAAACGTTCAAATCAGAGGAAAACACTCACCTCCTCACCAAAACTGACTCATAAAGATTTTTTTTCATTGCTGCTTTCAATGTTTAACTCTGCACTGCGAGCACCCGTCGTCCTCATTATGAGGAGAGGTGAATTGTGGGTAAAATCTGCGGGTGGTTGGACAGCATGCTGTGAGTACTGATGTATCAGAAGACAAAAGAGAGGACAGACGTGATGGAGAAACAAGAGGAGAGTGTGAGGACTAGATGGTGAGGGAACAGAGACAGGAAGTGAGAGAGGGGGAGGAACGGAGATGAATGATGGAGACAGATGGAGAAAAAAGAAGAAGCAGCAGGAAGTGAAATGAGGAACATCTGTGAGGAAAAACAATGGAAAATACAAATGGAGATGGGGGAGTTTACTGAAAATGTGAGAAATATTTTAATGTATTTATTAATCGGTCACAAAGCTTTACCTGCGTGCAACAAATACAGTCAAGTAAAGATATTTGAAACATTTCATCCTACGCGAAAACCTAAATACATAAA